GTGGTATAATTCTGTTCCATAAATAGAAATGATGATGAAGAAAAGTTAACTTTTGCCCAGTGATTTCTATTAATTTGCTAAAATTTTAATCGCTGAATTTATTCAGCTGAATTCTGAGTGAGTCATGAGAATCACAGGCAAAATAAAGGAGACATTCATGTACTGCCTGGTCAACTTTGGCGTAGCAATTAAAGAAAGCTTAGAACTGCAAAGGAAGGGGTGACATCGTCCAAAAAGAAATGTACTCATTACCTGACCTATGACAGTGTAACCCCTCTGTACATCACTCAATAATAATGATGATAGATATTTTTATTAAGAAAGCTCAGAGCCTTTGGTTTCTGGACAAGGCTAGATGGAGGAGTATGGATTGTGGAATGTTCATGGAGAACCTCAAACCCCACTGTAACACCTCTACAATCGGCATCCCTCCTACAGTGAACGGAGTTGCTCAGTTTAAGCAGCGACATGTTCTTCTAGCACCAGTATATGAAATAATGTGTTCTTCAAAGCATCACTCCCTATTTCTTGAAAATGACACTGTGCATTAGTCCTCCTTCTGTTCCTTGGGCTGATCACTGCATATAAACTCACATTCATCCGTTCAAGGGAGGAAAGTCTGATAACTTTATCTTTTCCAGCAAAGGCACCAAACAGCTTAAGGAGATAAATGTGTGAGGTACAATCCAGAAACACTAAGCTCTTGATAAGGAGCTTGAACTTGCGAGAGCTATTTGATTACTCCCTATTTCACTGATGCGTTCATTCCTGAACGTCCTAATAACCTAAGAGGGGACCACTAATGGAAAAAATGAATTAAAATCTTCCACCTCAGGACACCCAACAATGCCCAGACTCCAGACAAACACTGTTGTGGGAAATACACACATCCCACCAACGTAATTTGCCTACACACAAAACTGGCCTTGTTCATTGTTCGTTTTCACCCTGTGAGGTAAGTTTGTTTCTCTAGGCACGTAAGAGAAGGAACACCTTCCTGTGACTGATGTGTTTCTTGTGGGGAATCCACAAGCAAGTGTGGCTGCATGCAAACACATTTATATCTTGTCCAAATTCAGCGTGAAGGTAAATAGGCACTAAGTGAAGAAAAGGTGACATGTGTGGCTAGCAGGTGGCAGAGACCACTTTCAGTAAATCAAGAGATGCCCCTCACCAACCTTGGAGTTCTTAGAGTTCTCAGAATAATAATGATTATATATATGTATATATACGCATATATAGATCCACCACCTCATAGCTTGTGAGGATAATTTTTTTCCTAGCTAAAAGACATCACTGGAGAAAACCCACAAAAAAAATGATTCTGAGCTAGTAATGTGCATGCCTGTAATTCCAGTTACTCAGAAGGCAGAGGTATGAGGATGGTGGATGGAGGCTGTCAGCTAAAGATTAGTAATCACGAAGGAAGATTAGCCCCAGTAGAGGTTAAAGATAAGTCCTTTGCTTTTTCCTAGAAAAAGCATTAAGTGTACACCAGGTGACTCCACAATATCTGTGAGCAACACAGGTGTTCTAGAGCTTCATTCTAGAGCCTCACTCCAGCGCCAGATAGAGAAAATACAGGGGTGTTCTAGAGCTTCATTCTAGAGCTTCAATCCAGTGCCAGGTAAGACATCACACACATGTTCTAGAGCTTCACTCCAGTGCCAGATAGAGAAAATACAGGGGTGTTCTACAGCTTCAATCCACTGCCAGGCAAGACATCATACACATGTTCTAGAGCTTCACTCCAGCACCAGATACAGATATCATACCATCAACCTCAACAGCTAATGAAATCACACAGTATGTGAGAAAATGATCATTCCATGAGAGTCGAGGAAAACAGAGTAGGTGACAGGGATGGAGACCAGCTGAGCAGAGGGTAAGTCACAGATTTAAAACAGAACTGAGCAGGTGATAACTAACCAAGAAGAGATTCGATGGAGGAACGGGCTGGCATCTGGTGGGAGGCCTTTTACACTGTAGGCTGGGGCGGGGGTGCATTCCTAATGTAAGGAGAGTGGGGAGCCGGGGAGCAAGAATTGCAGCCAGCAGGTCGGTCCTGTGGGAAGTCCCGGCCACTGTTCTAAGAACCTTGATTTCTGCTTCAGGTGAACCGGGAAATCATAGAAGGTGGGATGAGCTCTGACAAAGACCTCGAGGGAAACCCTGGTTATTTCATCCTGAAAACAGTGTCCGAGGGCAGCGGTAAAGACACACAGACTGTGGAAAGCAGCCTCCAGTCATGAGCATGGGGATCCAGACGGGGACGTGGGCAGGTCAGGGTGAGAATGGCCGGCAGGGCCAGCTGCGTGTGGCATGGTGGACGGCAGCTGTGGGGAAAGAGCAGAGAACGATTCCCAGTTTTCCCGCCAGAAATATGAAAGTTGTAATCTACTAGATAGGGAAAAAATTGAGGCTGTTCAGCAACTGTGAGAGAACCAGGAGCTCAGTCTGGGAATATTAGGCCTGCATCTGACAGAGGTGCCAACGAGATGGCGGACTGTGTGTGTGCGGAACTCAGGACACAGGTCAGTGGTGCCAACGAGATGGCGGACTGTGTGTGTGCGGAACTCAGGTCAGAGGTGTCAATGAGATGGCGGACTGTGTGTGTGCGGAACTCAGGACAGGTCTGGGCTGGAAATATCATTTGGTTGGCATTGTCTTTTTCTAATGCTGAAAAAAAGAAAGAGTTCCCCAGAGGAAGAGTGGTAGTAGAAGGGAGAGGAAGGTGTGCCCACGCGAACAGGCAGGGGGCCGCAGCCCGCAAAGACCACCGCCATTTTTTTTTGTCTGATAGGGAGAAAGATCTGGAATCTGGATTTACTGAGGTAGAGGCCATGGAATCTTTGAACAAGTCACTGTGTGACAGGGAAAGTGGGAATAGAAAGAAGAAGGGGTGCAGTTTGAAGGAAACGGGTCTGGGCAGAGCTTGCAAGGAGTTGCCACGGAGGAGAGAACACAAATGAGCTGCAGAGCGGAGAGACCAGGGCTCTGCTCTCAAAAGCTGCTCAGCCTTTCCCAGCACACAAGTGATCCCTGAGAAGATAACCGGGGCAGCCTGCTGAACAGTTCAGAGTGGCTGGGGTCTTGGGGAGAAGAAGAATCTAGGCTACGGCGGGGATGGTTCACGTGGGTAAACCCTGGAAGAAAGAGCGCCCAGTCTGCACGTGGAAAGGTGAGTTGGTAAGGCCAGGCAAGGTGTTCTGTTTACTTCCGTCTTTGCAGTGAAACAGAACACAGAGTTATCCTCTAAGAACAGAAAGTGGAGGTACTGGGGATTCGAGGAAAACGGACACGTTTTGAGGTAATCACTTGGAGAGTGGAAGAATAGAGAGAAGGGGTTTGGAACAGGACTTCCGGCTTGACGTTTGTCTTTGTAAATTAAGGGGAAATCAACGCAGCTGCATTTTTTTCTAACTATGTCCTTGCGCTGCTGCAGACACAACACGAATTGATCTAGAAATGAGCTGCTGCCAAGCTCCAGTGATGAGTCAGACAAGGCACAGAAAACCCAGGCTGGGTGAGACGGGGCAGGTGTGAACCGGGGCATTTTGACTAGCTTACAGATGAATTCCGTAAAAGAAAAGCCAATGCATCCTTTTCCCCCCAAATTAAGACACGCGCCATGCTCAATATAACTGCAAAAGCAGAGCCTACCATAGGCCTCTAAGCCACAGTGCTGTGATCAGTATGCTGCAGGGTAAATCTACGAAAATAGACAAAAAGAAAATATCTAGAGACTCAAGGACGTGGAGAAACATTTTTGTATTATTGCTAACAAAAAGACTAGCAATATTGTCCTTTTCATAAAATCTTAAGTAGTTCTGCACTTCCATTTTCTAATGATACACTTTCTTTTCTCTTCCTTTCCTTCTCTCACACACATAATTATATTCTGTCTCTAATATCTCATATATATATATATATGTATATATTTACATATGTATAGATAGGTATGTGTGTGTTCTAAAATCTGAGAAAGGTTTATTTTTTCATGGCGAAATCAAATCTATGTTTGACGGATTTTTTTTTTCCTGTCTGTTTTATCTGTAGCTTTATCTGAAGTTTCTCAGTGCATTTATATAACCTTAATTTGAAGTTACATACATTTTCATTTTTCCTGAATCAAGTCTTGGAGGATTCCTAAACATGCTGAATTAGTAACTGAAATAACAGAGCATTTAAAGTAAAGTATCTGCTGTGACTGAAGGCATCTGAAACAATGTGTGCTTCCGAGATGGGTAAGGAGGAATGAACGGGGCGGCCACCAGGACGGCGTTCTGTGTGTGCTCAATCCAAGTGTCCAGTGAGACATGTTCAAAGGACCAAGTGGTTTACCCCAGCAGGCCCGGCCAGAGCTGAAGCAAGGCTCTGTGTGGAGCTGCTGCAGAGGGGAGCAATCAGAGAAGGCCCACGAAGGTGCTTTCTCACCTGCCTTGGCTTTCAGAGGAGGAGCTCTGTGATATTATTTCCTCTCGGAACACAACTAGCACATTTGAGCTTGTTTCTTGCCTTTTCATCGTACTGCATGTGACTTGTAAGTTGGATGAATGTAAGTTTTGCAATACTCAGAATATTAAGTAGCCATCTATTGAATTTCAGGTGACCTTCCCTTACATCTGCTAAATCCTTACAATTCATAATTCCAGTCAAGATGGCCTCTGCAAATCACAATACTTTGGGATTGAGCATTTTCCTTCATTACGCCACTGGTGATCTTTGTTCCAGTGATATATTTCCTTTGCCCCAGACAGTCTCTTAGGATACATTCACAAGTCAGTGAGAGGCCAGATTTGGCGTCTCTCCCAGGATACTGGGTTAGAATACAATGGTCTTTAACATCATTGCAAAGCTTAGATAACTTTTAAATTGTAGCAGATTCACACATACAAAGGAGTCTTCTGGTATCTACATGCATTAATGTTCTCGTTTTTAGTTTTAATTTAGAAAAATGTTTTAAAACAGCCAAATAATATTCCAAGAACCCCCCTTACCCGGTGAGCTTCACTGCATGTGACCGCAGCTTCCTGTACTTGGACTCTTCGCGTGAGCTGGCCACGTGTCTGTAGATGCCTGTTTTGTAGTGGAAGAAATCCTCGTGGACCTGCATTATGGCTGAAATGAAACCCAACAGGACACAGGACAATGTTGAAAACCTCAGCTTTAAAAGTCTTCGGGAATTCTCACTGCATACAATGACGAGGACATGAATCTGAAAGAGGGCTGGCTAATGTTTTCTTATCCCCTTTACCTATGTATAGGATTAAGTGAACATTATGCTCCTTCTGTGCCGTTCCAGTCAGACCAGAAGGGCCCTGAGCCTCGGGCAGCGTGGGGTCAGAGATGGCTCATTGCTAACCTTCAGTGTCTTTACCAGGCCTGAAAACCCCAAGAGGGCCTCGGCCGACCACATGGAAAGCCACGGTCCCTCATCAGGGTGAAAAACGCAAAGCGGTACTTAGGAGTTTGAATACAAAACAAACCCTTGGCAGAAGACCGCTGGGACAGGATTCCACCTTCCACCTCTGGAGAGCTGAGTGGGCCCTGTGCCCTTCAACAGCCGGGACCAGCACCCCGGAAACGCCTCGCATTCTCTCGCGAGGGTGAGTTCTGTATTGTACTGATGCCATTCGAGGCAGAGACTTTCCCCTTGGCTCCACAAAGTGAGAACTGAAGAGTTCTTAAGCTGGAATTTGACACGGACATCTTATAACTGCAAACTATTTATCTACCTTAGAGCGCGTGCATTTAAAACAAAACAGAAGCTAACATCACTCACGGCTGAAAGATCCTAAAATGAAAAGCTTAGGCTCCAAAGGTAAATATAGCTTTTGAATGCCCCACTTTTTACTTCATTTTTAATGGTCCATGTCTTGGCTGAAGCTCTTCAATAGCCCCAAAGAAGCTAAATCTTTATCTGCTCTAAAACACATTTTGATAGGACTTTACAGTTTTTACATAACTGCACTCTACGAAGATTTCTGCTTTGTTCTCTTCCCGTCACCTATACTTCTTTTTAATCCTACAGATTTCAGGAGAACGTACACAGTGTTATTTGTGTGGCATTCTATTCCTTTGGCCTTCTTTTGTGCTGAGGTAGGAAGAAGTGTCCAACAACAACAAGTGGATAATCATGCAGCCTCTACAATGAGCAACAAACAGTGTTCTATCCACTCATAAAAACAAGGAGGCCTTCCGGGTGGTTCTTCTCTGCTGTGGAACCTTTAACTCCTCTGAGTCACCTCTGCTGTGTCATGAAAAACCAGCACATGACTATGCACACTACCTCCGTGCACACACTACCACAGTGCAAGTTTACTCTTGGAAAGCCACGGCAAATTCATTATACAGAAGTGTAACCTGTGCAAGGGCCGTGTGTGCGGATGGCCTTTGCTCTCTCTGGGCTGTGGCCCCATCCAGGCCGGCATGGACACAGCTTCTCAACACATCCTTGAAAAGTGAAAAGTGAGCGCTGAACCATTCACATTTTTTTTTCTTTAACTCATTGCCTTGAAGGACTTTTCCATTTCATTTTGAAGCAATAGGTAAAATTTGTACACGTTAAAAAACTCCCAGTTTCTAGTGATTAGGATTCAAATTGATTTTGATTGGCTAGAGAAAGACACAAAATGCAGAAAAGGCTGAGTAACTTGTCAAAAGTTATTTAATAATGAATGTCAAAATTGGCATCTTGAGTTTAGCTCTGGGTCAAATGTCTTCCCTCCTTCAAATCTGTCTCATAAATACCCCTCACTAAAGCACAGATGGAAATTAGACATGAACCTTTCCTTCCCCCCCATACTTACAACATCCAACAAATCATGCAGATGTAAGAACACAGAGGCTTTAGCTTGGTGCAAAGTTCTAGCAATTAAATTTAAATTCAGGGAAGTTTAACTCTTTGCTTTTATTTCTCGAGGAATAAGTTATTTTGGTATAATTAGAAAATACATGATTTCTGCTATATACTGAACTGATACAAATTAGATCAACATTCAGAAGAAAGTAAAAAAAAGATAAAAAAAACTGGTCAATAGTTTTCTCTAGTGTGTATCATGTTTTAAATTCATCGTGACTTATTCTAAATTTGACTTCATTGATAATCTATTTAGTTCCCTTCAGAATTCAAGACCTGAATTCCCATCTTACACCTTGTTCAGTCTGGTTTCACATGCACTCAAGGTACAGAGAAAATATTTTGTGAATTTATCAGACTTCATGACATTGGCACAAAACAAAATCCAATAATTCAACAAACAAAAGGAAACATTATCCCAGAGGGTAAGAGAAGATTGGTCTACTTTGACAGCCTGTGGTAAGTCACAGAAATCATCATACTACTTATTTAATTTGCTTTTCACAGAGAAAAGAATTGAATTTGTTTCTATTAACCCTTATTTCCCCCCATCCATTGCCTGATTCACTAACAATGAAAAGAATTAAATGTCTGGTCTTAGTTATGAGTCCTAACTATGATCAGATGAACAAAATGAGCTTTGTGGTGGACACCTGACTTCACATGGGACACTTTTTTGGTCCAGGATCACTCTAAGACTTCCACTTTCCTCTGATGGGTCACTAAGACTTAAAATGGGTCACTGATCTCTAAGATCAATTTATAAGTGAGCCCTTCATGTGAAAATAAAAGGGCATTGAGGGAGGTTATCAGCAGGTGAGCTGATGGCCCACCCTTCGGAGCTGTCCAGCCCTCGGGTTGTTTTTCTTTCAGTAATCTCCGTGTACACTAGCTTGACATCACACTTATTAACAGGACGGCTGGAGTAAAACCACGCAGCATGCGCGCTTACCTTGCACGGGTCCATTTTGCATGATTTCCCTCATTATCTCGGTTTCCTGGAATGAGAAACGGGAATGAGCATTGTCCCGACGGCCACCCGCGAGCGCATGGAGCGCGGGGAGCACATGGAGCGCACGGAGCGCATGGAGTGCATGGAGCGCGGGGAGCACACGGAGCGCACGGAGCGCATGGAGCGCGGGGTGGAGTGCATGGAGCACGGGGAGCACACAGAGTGCGGGGAGCGTGGGGAGTACACGGAGCACACGGAGCGCAGGGAGCGCAGGGAGCACACGGAGCACACAGAGCGCACAGAGCGCATGGAGCGCGGGGTGGAGCGCATGGAGCACGGGGAGCACACATGCACGGAGCACACTGCAGGCAGCGCGGGGCCCTGCCCTCGCGTGGTGCTCCATGATCCTTGGTGAGATGGTGACTCAGGCGGCCTGTGATCCACCATGGCCGGCCTCCTGTGACCCCTCCACGCCACCCCCACGTCCCCCGGAGCCAACTGGTGCCCGTGCACGTCACTTTCCGTGTGGAGTGCGGACGCACTGGTGTGTGCCCTGCATGCGCGTGTGCCCACACGCGTGCGCGGTGGACGGGCGCACTCACGTTGGAGGAGACGCGGTAGGCGGGCGAGCACTGGAAGATGCGGTTGGACTTCTCCAGGCTGTTAGGACACGGCCTCGTGGCCTGCCGCCGGCCCCGCGCGGCCGCCCGGCTCTCCATGGCGCACGCGTGAGCGTCGGGCCGCGGGTCCCTCAGGAGCGGGTAGCACGCGTGCGACACCAGCCTGCGGGGAACGAGCGGGAGAGGCAAACGGGGTGTTGGGGCCGCCGCCACGCCGCCCGGGGTAGGGGCGGCTCCGCCACCTGCGCACCCCGAAACGGGGAGGACTCCGCCAGCACGCCTGCCAGCTGCAGGCCTGGCCTCGGGGGCAGCCCAGGGGCCTCGGAGGCCTGGCGCCTTCAAGGCTCCCTGTCCTCAGATCTCTTATTACGAATCTCCGCATCCTACGCCTCTGTCGTGCTCACCAGGCCTCTAGTCAGTGGAGAGTTTCCAGGGTGACACGGGCCGGCCGACAGTCTGTGGCAATGTTAATAATAAAGGACTCCTTCCACCTGTGCTCCTAACAGCAATGACGATATGGGAGAGGACGGCAGTCCATGACCGCCTGTTCACAGAGGAGAGGTTCCCATCCACTGCGCAACACTTAGAATTAGGAGATGGTTTTTCTATTGACGTGCTCATTAACCTGTTGATACTTTCATCAAAGCACATCAAAGATTATATGTCTGTGGTTCATAATACCTTGGGAAAAGAGTATAAATATTATAATACATATTATATAATAGAACATTTAATAAGGTAGACATTTATCAAATACATTATATTGGCGACTAAAAATCATTTTGATTTCTGGATGCAACACTGGACACAGCAAAGTGCCAATTATTAGACTCCAAATCTAGTGAAGCATGTTGAGTAGAGGGAAAGACCACAAGAGAGCCCAACCACTCAAGTGGCGATCTCAGACACACGAGGCTAATGTGGCCTAATGGGGTCCCACTAAAGAGGGTTCTGGGAAAAGCAGCCTCTATCTGGGTGTGGGAACACAGAAGGGGACAAGATGGAAACAAAGGCATCAAAACGGTCAAGCATTTCAACATCTTCAGCTGATGGTGCTGTATCTCTATGGATGTTGAGTGCTAGGAGTTCACTCTGCTGAAGCATCTGTGATGGTAACTCAAGATGGGAGTCACGGGGATTGGAAGGAGGTCACAGCATTGGGGCCCTTAGGGATGGGATGGGAGGCCTTTCAAGAAGAGACTCCAGCGCCCCAGCTCCAGAACGTGGCATCTGTTACCTAAGCCATTGCCTCTTGTATGTCTTGTTATGGGGGGTGGGGGCAAGGACACAGCACAATGAGATCCGTGGTGTGTCAATGATAATTGATCACTCGAGTCCCTCTAAGGCTTTTTTTTGTTGACATAATACAGAACAGAAGCCACGCGCACAGTACTACACCCAGAAGGTATCAGACGGGTCTGTGTGCTCAGAGAAACTTCACTAGGCAAAATATATGAGAGAATGATGAATGCCCGCATCAGTGTCTGAGGTGCCCTGGCCCTTCACAGCCTCTGACTGGTGTAAGGAAGACCCAGAGCGGTGGCAGCAGTGAATCCGCTTCCATTCCCCTGGCTGAAGACCCAAAACGCAGGAACAGACACGTCCTGAGACAGACAGGAGGGGGTGGTGCTGGTGTCACACTAAGGACGGCCATCAGCCGTCACCACATGGGAGGGAGTGCCCAACGGGACCGGAGGCAACTGGGAAGAACCTATTTTATTCTTCCTATTGCTAACCTGATTTCCCTATTCATCGAGCTGGGGAAGAAAATGGTGAATGAGGAGACACAGCCGCTTTGATTCTCTTCCTCCCTCTCCGGGGATCAGAGTTGAAACAAGAGCAGGCATGCCACCATTATTCAATAATCCGGGGGCCTTGTCAGTTCCAAGCACGTGCTCCGACGCCACGCCATACTCACAGAGACAGGATATGCTTGAGGTACTTTTTGTGAACTCTCGGACCATCCCTGCCTCGGTCAGTGCCCTGCAGCAGCCCGGGACGTGGGAGGAGCAGAGCCGAGCAGCTATTTACCCACGTTTTCTCAGGAACCACCAAGCTCTGTCGATGCTCCCACCGTGGCACCCGAGGCGGCTCTTGGCACAGCAGGAGATCAGGTTCTGGGGGGACAGGTTAGCGGTGTACTGACCTTTGGAGTGAATTGCAATTCGGTCAGCTGCCACGCCTGTTTCAAACAGAATACTGGTTAATAGGCAAGCGGTACACCACAGGGTCCTTCTGATGTCATGTGGAACTACACAGGGGCCCGAATTTCAGCTAATTCAGACTGCTGAACTTCTAGCTGATGTCATATCTGAAGGCTGCCTAGTGTACTTTCATGCTCATAATACAATGGAAAATCACTGCCGCAATCTTATCTTTGTGAGTATGTTATTAGTTTTAAGTATAAAGTTGTAGTATGTTATTAGTTATAAGCAGCACTGACCACTGCAATTATTATTAATTGATACTATTATTTGGTTACACCCAATAACACAGCTGCAAATAGCTACAAATCCATGTATATGCTATCTACTACAATATGCAATTACTGACATTCTGCTTTATATAATTAATATGGGGATATTATTATTGACTATCGAAATGTATAGACACATAAACATTAACCTCTTTGAACCTTCTATTCATCCACTTAACAGCTCCCTAACATTAAGACGGTTGTAAGTTCGTTCTTTCTCTCAACTCTTTTGAGCACTTACTTGGCCCTCAGCCCTGGAACATTAGAAGTTACAACAATTAACAAGAAACAGATAAAAGATGCTTTTCTCAGAAAGGAATCATCTAGAAATCTGCACGCACCATCACAGCGACCATGGTCTCATGACAGGCTGGCAAGAGCATGCCATTGTGCCAGTTAATACAATGCCATCATGATAGTTAGAGATGTTTGCTTGCCGAATGCCTAAACTGTCTCCTTTTCAATGCTTAGATTCAGACTGAGAGAATATCTTGTTCTCTTTTACATGAAGACAATAAGAATATAGTCTTTCTTTATCAATTATATTCTTGTCAGTGGAAGTGGGTCTTTTAACATCAAAATTGTCTGTCTCTGTACTGTGATTTGTTTTTTCCAAAATAACTCACTTAAAAAGAATCCATGGTTTTATGTTTTTTACGTTTGTGGTTTTCTGTGACTGTAACAATTCAGGGGATAAAATCTTGGGATAAGTCTGAAATTATTGGACTTGTGAACCTAGATAAAGTAGCTATAAAAGAAGCATCACTCACACTTTTGGACCAACATTCATGAGTTACATCACAATTGCTTCCTATTCATGTATTAATTTAGTGTCTGTAGCTGGGTTTGGTTTAGGGCTCAAACTTGCCAGGCAGGCTCTTTTTTGGTGGTTAGCCTCATGGTTTCACCTGGGCCTGTCCTCAGACCATAAGTATCCTACCTCTGGCTTCTTATGTCGGTGGGATCATAGATTTACACCACCACAGCCTACTAATAAATTGAGATGGGGTCTTGCTAACTCTTTGTCCACCCTCTCTTGGAATGTCATACTTCCTAACCTCCACCTCCTAAGAAGCTGGCTGGAAACACAGACGTGTGCCGCTGCCCCGAGTAGATGGCTGCACATGTCAGTCCACAGTCAGAACCCATGTCTTCTTGACCAACGAGACTGAAAACATTTCATCCACTCTTACTTATTTCTCAAGTTTTGCTTCCCTTCAAAATAGTTCCACAGCGATGAAGGAAGACATACGGCTTGTGTGGGGTCCGTACGCATGCTAAGATTGTACGTTACCCTCTGGTGAGGTGAAGCCCTAATGCTCCTCTAACCCCTGGCCATCGCTCGCCTTTGGCCAGCACACTCCTAGCCATGGCTCTTTTGATTCATTCTGCATTTAACATGAGATATGGATGACCAATTCTTAGGTGGAAATATATAACCTTCCAGTTGTTTTCCTAGGCCACAATAAAATTTTATTTTAATTGAACAGATGGTAATATATATACATTCTAATTTGTAAAACTTTTAAGTTGCCCTCTCAGACTCCTGAGTCAAAGGGGAAAATTAAACAAATGTCATTAAAATGATCGTATTACTTGCGGTGGAAAATGCCCACGATGCAGCACAGTTTTTCTGATCCAAAGGGCCGTGAGTCCATCCGGGCCACTTATAAGAAGAAATGAAAATCTCTGGGAGGTCAGTGTGGGCGGGTAAGGAGGCCTGGAGGAGAGAGAGGCAGACAGGTTAGGGTTTCTCAAGTGTATTCTAACAACCACCACAAGAAGATGTCAGACCTTCCTACCACAGTTCCTTCTCTAACCGTTTCCTACATCCAAGATTTTGAATACAGTATAGTTTTGTAGGATTTCTGTTTCACTCCACGCTAGAAATGACATCTCGCTGTGGGGAATCGTGGTGTAAAACAAACTCATTGGAACAATCTGGAGAGCACTTGTGTTACCTCACACCAGGGTCCCTCTCATCGTGACCACCCCTAGAGACCGTGTGATCTGGCTCTCCGCCCCTTCCTTCAGAGGTGAAATCCACGATGCAGTGATATGTTTCTGTCAGCTCCTGAGGAGCACACCTGGGGCGGAGGAACAGCAGTATTGCTCAGCACCTCCCTATTTTGCTGACTCGGTATGCCAGAGTGCCTTCAGACGCTGAACATGGGAAGCTGCTGAAGTTTCCAGAAAACTAGACAGAACGTCAGCTTCCAATGGTGACTTTACAAGGCCAATTTAATCACACAGCAAATAAAACCTTATCTTTGTGGAAGCAACAAAGATACAGTGATGACCCTTAATCTGCCGTGGACTGAATGACTCTGAAGTGGCCCACATCTGACAGGAAGCGGCCCTGCAGCCGACAGGAAGTGGCCCACATCTGACAGGAAACGGCCCTGCAGCTGACAGGAAGTGGCCCTGCATCCGACAGGAAGTGGCCTCCACATCCGACAGGCCTACGTGGCATTTGTGCACCCTGGTAGCAATGTTGGGATACATCTGTCAGGGAAATGTCAACTCTTAAACACATTTCCCTCAGCACCCTCAGGGAAACGATTACACCGATATGCCCTTGTCGCTTTTATGGTTTATCCTTTAAAAAGTACGCGTGCACAGTGCTTCCTACTAGGATAAGGCACCAGAGAAACAACGATCAGAGTGACAGTTTCCCTAAAAATGTGTTTCACAGTCCTCAGAGCCAGATGATTTCCGGATGTTTACCTCTTGGTTTTATTAAGATTTTTTTAACTGCTCATTTACTATAGCTTTCCATAAAAATGGGTCTCGAGGACGTGAGGTCTGTAGGCTGCATCCCCCTGTGATTTTATCGGCCTCATGAGATCCAATAACCTCACAAAATGGACATAGAGGAAATTGTATATCCCAGTATTCTATACATGTCACATGCCCTGTAAAGTAGGAGTGCTTTAGAGACTGCAAAGAAACACAGAATAACAGCGTTCAGGTCATGGCAGTCTGGCTTCAAGAGATGAGACACCTAAACTATTGTCTGCCAGCAAAGCAAAATTAAGGACAAGGAGCCGCTCAGCTTGACAGAAATTCCAACGTGCTTGTCTTACATGACCCGGAAGCGATCCTAGAGCAAGATTTCCTCTACACCTGCATGGGGACACCTCCCCGCACTCCTGTTTTCATCTAGGAATTACAAGGAATAAAGCAGCCAGGGTGGACAAGTTGGAGAAGGAGACGCAGCGGCAAACCTGGGGAGTTTGGCTTTGTGGTGACTCCGCCGTGTCACTGACCGGAGTTCTCTGAGCCGTGAGGGGCGTCCATCACCTGAGGCCTGACTCGCGCGCCTGGCATTCCCTGAGGAAGTGGGAGTGGATTCCACATGCCCTGTGCACCGACAGGGCACACACGGTGCAGATGGCTCTTCCTCCTGCGGCAGCGGGTCCCCACTTCAGTGTGGACAACTCCCATGTCCTCAGAATCACCCCAAGCCACCAGCCTGACCGCGAATCAACCAAAGCCACAGGCACACGACCTGCCCCGACCTGGCCGACTGAGGTCGGCGGCCCTGCACGCCAGGCGCACTCCACACACGGAAGGAGAGGGCAGCTTCCCCGCTGGAAGAAGGGACGGGAATGTCTCCTCTTCAACCACCTTTGCCTTCGTGCCTGAACCCCGAAAGGCCCCCGCTGGTTCTTCTCTAGTGTCTCAGGATAGAACGATTTTCTAAATGATGCTAATAGCACTACTTGATGATCACTGATGCATTCATGCCCAGCTTTTCCTCAAGGGAGTAGGTGTCTTCTCCAGACACGTGCAGGGTCAGGAAAAGTGGCGATTCCTGCCCCCCATGGGGTGATGAGGTCCATATCTAGGCTTCCATGTGGTGACTGATACCCAGGTATGTGTCATGGGGGATGCTGGAGAACTAAGAGGCCACGGGAACTTGCCTTTTAATCCTTTCCCTTGATTGCACATCTTTTCCTGCGGGTAGAAATGTGCATGTCACTGATGGCCGCAGCATGTTCTTCGGACTTGTTATAAAGCCTGTGCAATACAGGATGGAGGGGGCCTGCAGCAGAAGGAAGCAGCCGTCCTGTCCAGGATGTGGAGACATCCAGTTAGGTCTTACGTGTCTACTGTGTGTGGCTTCGGTCACTCTTGGCTGAGCCGGATGACGGCTAGCATGACACTCGTGATGACCATCAAAGCTGCTCACGCAGTACCACGTCCCACTAAAGCCATACATCATGCGCCGTCACGGACCTCCCAACCCCAGAGGGGCGAAGAAGGGAAGAAATCGTGAGCTGTGACTTTCCTTGGAGCAGCCCCTTAGAACGCCATTCTGAGGAACCGCACCCAGTCACTGCAGAGTTGATTCACCCCACAGTTCCCAGAAACCTGGTTCTGAAAATTAAAAAGATGGTTGTCACCACTGTTGTGTGTTGTGGTACTTTTGAATGTTTTGAAACAGCCAGTGTTTGTCAGACTCCAAAAAGTGGAAATGATGGGAATGGCTTCAACATTTCATCATTTGGGCCAGTACAAAATACGTTGCTTTGATTCCCGGTCTATCATTTTTATGGTGAACCTGCCATTGTGCGCATCACACTTCGGGAAGAGGATGGGTGGAGAAGACAGACCATCGACGTCTGTCTGTGGCCCATGTGTGAGCCAAACGTCACGGTTGTAGGTGAGGTCTTCAGTTTTGTTCAATTTCAGGCCACACGTATCTCTGGTTAACTGCGTCCTCCCTTCTGTGGCCAGTGTCGGATTCCAGAGCAGCTTCTGTGTACATCAATGACAGCCGTTGGAATTAGGTTGAGATGTCCATTCAGATAGTGATTGCTAAGCCAACTAAAAATGCCAATACTCTGTGAGTAATGAGAAGAAATAAAGGAAAAAACCTAAACCTGGAAATAGTCACCTTGGTTTTTCCAAATATCTGTCTAATGGCTCAGTTCTGTTATTACCGAAACATATTTTTAGAAGGAAAACCCATTTCCTCCTGTTACATCTAAATGGCTAGAGAAATAAATTGAGCCAATCGACTGTCACGTTTATCTAGAGAATATTAAAGTGTTTGGAGAATTAGATGATGTTTTCAATTCTCGTCTAAACATTACTGTCTTTAAAGGTCACGGTATGGTATTACAATGTCACATTATGTAAACGTCCAGCAAACCACATCATGACATTGTTTTTCATGATTCATTTATATTGGGGAGGGAGAGAAAGATGTGTTATAGCAGTTAACTGTGAAGTTAACACAAAAAATACAAACATGTTTGCCTCTGACCATCTCTGATGCCATGTATCTGCAGGCTTTAAATAATGGGTCACCCCATTCATACAGTGGGGGAAATCTCGGCCTTGTAGCCATGGCTGCTCTTCTACCTCCTGCTTTGTAGACTTGTAATGACATGAGGGAAGGAACAAATTGAGGGAGGGCATGGGCAGGAGGATTCCTCGCTCATTCTTCCCACCCAGAATAAAGAACTCCGCGGGTCAAAGCTCTGACACAGGCAGGTCAAAGGAGGGGGCTGGGGCATTAGGGTGAATGGATTTTCTTCACCTACTGGAAAGCATGTCCCATTGGCGACGGCCTGAGGCCATTATGTGGAGAGGCCACCTTTGTTGAAAATCATCTATTTGTTCAACGTGGAGGAAATATCAGTTGGCTCAGGAGCGTTAACACAGACACAATCCTCCCTGTGTGTGGAGGCTGTGTGATATCAAGTACTGGGCGATTTCCACATCATCATCTGGCCAAATCATAACCTGTTGTTCTCTCTGTGTTTCCGGTGGCTGCCAGTTCAGTCCACGTGGACCTCCCGCTCTTCCTGAAAGTCCAATTTCTTTTACTTAACCAGTTATTAGGATAATCTCAACACTCAGAACTCGCTCTTCAAGCTACCTGATTTAGAAATAAGACTCCATTTCCGTGTCTTACATGCTCAGTGGGTAGCAGAACTCTGGCAGGTCAGCTGGGTTCCTCTTACCACTTTCTTGCCATTACTTGTCTTACATTAAGTTGCCCTGCACTGGGTAACTGAAGTTCTCCTGAAGTCTAATCATTGTGAACTTTCACTTAAATATCACTGCAGAGATGTTTTTATGCAAACAAATCTCCAGGAGCCAACAAATGCTTTTGAATGAGATTTTTTTCTTTATAATGATGAGTATCAACTTGAGAAAGAACCGGGCTTTGTTTCCTCTGGATTTCAAATCATCCCAAAGGGCAAATGCCAAGGTTTAGAAAAAGGAAATGTTGGAAATAACCCCAAGGACGTGGAAATAAACCTTAGCGTTGGGCCTACCAAGGCCCCCAACACACGAGGCGGGAGAATGGCCTGTACAGCAGAGGGATTTTCCCAAAGCCAGCTCCTTTCCCAGGCTGGGGCACAGAGAGAAAGGATGATACATAGAGGAAAGTTCTCTTCTGCATGTCGGTTTTAGAGTTAGGATGTGAGACACTGTGAGCCTGAGCCACATCTCCAAAGAGTTTATCCGGCTGTCTACAGGAAAGATCCAGAGCCACCCCTATGTAGATCGTGTCAGAAAACCAGCTCCAGTTAGGAGATGGCAAGATCCTTTGTCTTCTTTGAACCTGAACTGACCAAGCTAACAGGTTCTACGGAAACTCCGAGGACTATCTGCTGATCCCGAGATGGACTATTTGCTGATCCTTAGAGATGTCCTGGCTCTGAATGCAAGTGATTCGTGGCAGCCCTGCACCTGTCTCCATCTCAGAGGGATTCAAACTCCATCAGTATTCATCCACCTGTCTTCAAAGTGTGGCTAACCATCATGTCCCCGCACTGCACTCCCGTGAGAGTTGAAGGAGACAGAGTACGGGGGCCTGCGTACCCACACACACCGTGTGTGCTTTGGTAGATTCTGAGGACCCACCCTCACCCACCAGCACAGTTTTCAACGAGACATTTCAAGCCTCTGCTTCAATCTCACGAGATCATGGATAGTCTTACAGTTGTGGGTAGTCAAAAAGGGGCACGTTTTAATGAGTCCTACAGTTCGAGCTCGACGTGTTTGCTATTTACATTGCATTTGTTCCTTTGGGTGCTGCTGGGGTTTGGACTGGGGGCCTTGCCCCGGCCGGCCACTCTGCTGCTGAGCCCCGCCTCTGCCTCATTCTTCTGCACTGCTATTATTCACATAGAGCCTCGCTTCCCACCCCCATCCTTGGATACAGATCCAGCTCTTTTAAGGTTACTGCCTCGCCAGGATGACAGATGCAAGACGGCGGTGCAGTTCACTCTGTGGAGATGGCGTCTCACAGACTTTTCTGCCTGGGTTGACCTAGAACTCTGATCCTCCCGACCTCCATCCCCCACGGAGCCATGGGAGCGATGTGCGCCCCGCCACACTCGGCTCCCGTTGAGAAGGGCTGTCTTGTGTTTGTCTGCCCACAACAGCCCGAGCAGGAGGCCTGACATCCATGGCCAGCAGGTAGCTAGGGTTACAGGCACTCAGCGAGCCATGGCCCTTGGCTTCCTTCACTTACTTTAAACCACAAATCTACTTGCACGTGTACACACACACACAGAGACGTGTACACACACATGTGAACTGGGAGGAACACTTACTGTGACTTCACTCATGCTCAGCAGCGTGGGGCCAGGAGGCATCGTGCCCAGGCGGTGTGTGAACCCCTCTTGCAGCGTCATTCCCCAGAACTGGCTGTAGTTCTGGGCCGTCCACCTGCCTTCCACGAGAGAGGAGATGCCGACAGGTGAGACACCACTTCTGAATTCACCTGTCGATCTGCAGGCACAGCAGGCAGATCGCCCAGGGTGGAAGCGGTCCCTGCCGGCTAGACTGTCCCTCTACAACAATAAAGCGTTCATTATCGTGCAGTCAGATAGAGGAGACAACCTCCTGAATCCGGCGCATTTCAATTATTGCGGAGATTCATCGGAGACACATAAAGGTTACGATGAAGAATATGGAATCTTCGCATACTGTCCTTGGATGGATTAAGTGATAAGAGCAATAAATGAAGTTTCTTTAAGTGTCATTAAATGGGTTTTAGGAAGAAGCTTAAATATATAGAAATGTACTTCTCGTTTCCCTACAGTAATCTGTTTCCATTATACTTTAGATTTGAAAAGATAGAGAACAGGTAAAAAGTTTCTGTGGAAAAACGAGAACAGACTAATTATACTTCTGTTTTTCCCTTTGTTTTCACCCCTTGGAGCTGAACCCAGGGCCTCATGCCTAGCAGACCAATACCCGACCATTGCGCTACACTCCTGCCCTGAGCAGTTGTAGCCCTGACGACTCATTTTATTGACAGAGGCTATTTTATACTGCATGATAATTTGTGCCCAGTATTTGATCATCTCAGATAGTAAATATGAAATTGATGTGAAATTAGGTGGTTAAAAGGCTGGTGCATGCTTTTGAGATATTTTGTGCTCATATCTAGATTAAGATACTGTCTTTTTAAAATGAGACACTTAAAAATAATAATAAAATGAGACATTTGAATTTGCAAGCAGATTTCTTTGGGAGGTGGTAAACAAAAATTAGAAAGAAGAAAGTAATTTAATCATTACTTATTTAAAATATCTAACGTTTGAGGGCAATACGTTTCCATACTTATGTCAGATCTAAACTTTATTTTGTTGTTTTTATCACAAGTCATGTATAATGGGTGAGTGATTAGAAATACAACTCAGTGCTCACCAATATGCCTAGAAAGTTAATAAAATCTGTTAGTTCATAGAATTTATGTTTTGTTGCCTCGTATGCTCCCTACCGCAAATCCCTGCCTCTAATCAGTTCATAAAATCTTCAGTAATTCTCAGCTACAATTTTAACGTGTCATTTGCACCAACTGAGGACTTGCAATTAAGGGAGCAGTCAGCAAATACTAGGCCAGTGGCCTTCATTGAATAGTGTAAGAGGACTTTTTAAACAAAATAAGGATAGACACCAGGAACGCAGACAGAGAAGCAAGCGTCTCTCCCTACCGGAGGCTGTACCCTCGTAAAGTCTACAAAAAAGCAAAGCAAAGGCTTCGTGGAGAGCCACCTTTGCAGCGCGGGCGTGATCAGCGCAGAGGCTCCCACAGCGCTGGCCAGAGTTGGCGCGCTCCTGTGGGAAGTGAAGCTACCGTCTGATGAAGGCAAAAGGAGGAGGCTGGGGGCCAAACGTGAAGCGAGAAAGCGCTCACCTCAGCGAAGGCCAGCCCTGAACGAGGCCTGGAGACTGCGCTCGGTGGCTCTCCAGGGGAGCCGCGGGGAAGGCTGGTGCTAAGATGCAGGAATGGCCCGCGGGATGGGGGGGACACGGGGACGGGGACCGAGGGGAGCCGGTCGAGTCGTTTACACCGAGGAGAAATTTACTTCACGGAAGGAACGGAAGGGAGAGATTTTAGGAACAACTTGTGTGACAGAATCAAAGCTTTGTGTCCAAAGGGTTGAGCATGAAAGTGAAATGACAGAGCGGAGTTGGAGTGAACCGGACAGGAGAGACAAACCGCGCCGCTTCAATGTGAGCTTGAACACAGCACAGGCGTGGGGCGCAAACACCTGAAGAGTCCTGCCTGACGTAGCCACCTGAGAATGAAGAGGAAGGAAGAAGCAAACCGGCGGCCGGCGGCCTGGCTTTGGCTCAGGTGCAAGGCAGACGCGGCTCACTGAAGGGAGGGAGAGACAGTGGCCGGTCCAGTTTGGGCTGGTTTGGAGAAAGATAAATATCAGTGCAGGTGTCCAAGAGATTCGATTCTAAGTCCATAAGGAAAGCCACACTCAGAAACCGCACAGATTACAGAAGGTCCTAAAAGACTTCTCGTTCATTCTATTAGGAGTATGGCCAAATGATAAGGGAACAATAGATCTGTGTGCCGCGCGCACACCCAGGCGCCCGGTGGGGTTGGCAGGTGCCGCTCCTGCCCAGGCAGAGCCCCACAGGAAGAGGCCAGCCCTGGCCTGCGGAGACTCAGGAGGAACGGGATCTGGGGGAACTCCGGCCGGGCTCAGTGCTGCACATCCATAACCCTAGCACTCAGGAGACAGAGGCTGGAGGATCCCTGCTCTGAGGCCCTCTTAGACTCCGTAGCAAGGCTTTGTCTCAAAACTAAACACAAAGTGGTACAGGCCTCATCCAATCTCACCTAAATTCAAAGGCAGAACACAAGAGCTGGAGAGCAGCTCAGGGAAAATGTTAGTGACATCCTCCATCAAAAGCAGGCTCTGGGTGCCGGCCACTCCGGAGGGCCACAGTCAGGAAAATGAGCCAGAAAAAGAAGAAAAGAAGGTAAAAGCAAAAGAAAGAGAGGAATGGCTCCGGGGGAGAGCGAGCTTGTCTAGCAAGTGAGAAGCTGTATGTTCAATCACTAACACTGAAGAAAGAAAAATAAAAAGAAAACCCACCACAAAACCCAACGAACCAACCAAACAAATGCAGCTTCAGCTGAACCTAGGCCGAATGGCTGACAGGACGAAGATGGCTGATACACAAAGAGCGCGCAGCTTTCAAGCACCAGGGTTTGAAGAGGGCTGTCTTGTGGTTTCTGGGTTTGTGTCCTGGTTTCTTGGAGGTGTGAGCTAGAAACGACCAGCTGTTTAAATCCTTTCAGGAACCTAACTCAACAGTCTGTCAACTGACACATCCCCACGATTTAAATATCATCTAGTCACAGAAGATTGTAATTGGTTTTCCCTAGAAATACTTCAGTGTTATCAAGAGCTCACCAAAGACACTCCCTGAGCAAACACACACACACACACACACACACACACACACACACACACACACACACACACACACAGGGCTTGGGGGTGAGTTAAGAAGATTAATGTCAACAAATGGGACTTTGTACAGTTTCTATCCTCCAAGAAAGCACTTTGGATATGAGGAAACCAGAATCTCCACTGTGCCAGGGAAGACCGTCCGATGTGAGGGAGGAAATCACTCTTCTGTGTTTTAGGAAAACATGTCCCAGAGTGACTTCGCTTTTCTAGTTGCTGGAAAATAGAGTTGCTACTGTGGCACCTTTTCCAGAAATAGAGAGGGGTGGCCAAGGGCAGAGCGAGATCTGGGCCAGCGGAGGAGTCCGGAGGCAGATCAGCCGGGCTGGCCCCCTGCCCCGCAGTTCCACAAGAAGCCAGGGCTGGTGCCGGAGCCTCCGTGTCCCTGTGTCAGGGGTGAGGCCGGGCACTGTCCTAGCTGACAGGAGAGCGTGCCACGCCACCCCCAGGATTCCACCTCCATCCGTCCTCTCTGTGCATGACCAGCAAAGCGGGGCGCTCATCCTGCCTTCCGACTCCGTGATTTGGCCTTGGGGATGATCTACGCGTTGGAGGTCTTATGACCTGACTCAGTGGAGCCCAGGACTGGCTTGGAGAGGGTGGCATGGGAGAGAAAAGACTAACATGAAAAAGTCAACTCTGCCACCTTCCTAATAGTGTCTAAACACCCAGGCAGCGCAAAGCTCCCCGGTCCCGCCACCCATGTCTGCGTGCCAACACCTGCAGAACTGAACACTGGCCGCTAGGTTTGTGGGTTTTTATGCGTGCATTTTTATTACTTAAGTTTACCATATACATTCCACGTCTGCACACCGTTTGTGTTTTATCTTCCTTCCTGTCTCTCTCCTGATTTTCCTTCTTAGACAATGACCACGTTCAGAAGGGAAGTAAGTATAGTCTAAATCTAAAGAGTAATTGGGGTGCCAAGAAGTCAGAACTGGGGGGGGTACTCACCCAAAGTCTCCATTATTGATGTGTTCCAGTAACTCTGGGCGGACGAGGCACGCGTGCTGGGAGCATCTCCACTGTCGTTGAGAGCAGGTGCTGCGAAGACACAAACATCATGAAGGCGGCGGCCAGGCCTGGCCGGTTACACTTCAGAACTGACCGGGAGAGCTGACACAGAACGGATCTCGCTCGGCTAACAGCAGCCGTGTCTGTCTGATCCTTGGAGGAAAACCAGTCCGCATCACACAGATATCAGGCGTGGCCCCGGTGGCTCCCGTCCTCTGCTTCACATTCACTGAATCTGTTCTTAAAGAAATACAACTTGGAGAGTGGATTCAATGTACCGGTGCTTAGACCCTTTCTGGAAGCAGCCTGTTTTTATATAGAGTTCTTCTACTCATAAAAAAGCAACTTGCTTCGAGCCTGTTAAAGTGTTCATAATGAAGGGGTACGTGTGATGTCGCCCGGTGTATGGAGGAGGCTCATTATCGAGAACATTATTAAGCTCAATCACAAGAGATTCATGCATAATTACGTTCTGCAATGTGCTTTTAGGGTGTGCACCTATGTGGTGGGATGCCCCATGATATGGAGCGCCAGCACACGCTTAAACACGTGCTCTGCTCCCCCGCCTCCCGTGACCCTCTTAGCAGAAGAAAGCACACACAGACCACAGCGCTGGGCCCCGAATCCCTCGGGCATTACCAGGGGTTGCAGTTCTCCTTAATTACCGATCCTTCTTCGAAGTGCTGCCCATCTCTGAGGCAACCTGTTAGCAGAAGACGCACACAAATTAGCCCCTCCGTGGCTGCCGTGCGTGGGCAACAGGCATCTCACCCCGTGGTGAACGCTGCCACAGGCAAAACCGTTCGATGCCGATCTGACGGCAGTCCACACGTGGCCAGCCCAGGTTTGTATCTCAGATTCTTTCCGGGGATGTTCCAGGAGCTTTTATCTTTAAATGGCTACTATGTTACACAGAAAGGATTTGTAAAGCATAAAACCTGGGTTGCCATAGACTTAATCACTACACCCAAAAGTAATTAATTTGTTTATATATAACAGCATTTGAATTCATTTATGGTTATGTTATTAATAAAAAAACAGTAATCAGAGCAGAGGCCAGTGACCCCCACCAGTAATCCTAGCTGCCTCGGGTGCTAGGATGGTTGGGATCATGGTTTGAGGCCAGCCTAAAAAAAATTAATAAAAGTCTGCTAGATGCTTTCTCAGAAGCTGGACCTGGTGCCTAACACTGGAGGACTGTGCCCAGAAACTCTTGCAGGCAGGCAGGGAGACCCTATATCAAAATAACAAGGAGAAGTCAGGGCTGCGTGCAGGATGCAGAGGTAAGAGTGTCTGCCCAGAGCTCAAACTCCACTTCACCTCCCAGATGCCAATCAGATCTCATAAGTGGATGTGATTCATGACAAATGACCAGAGAAAGTAGCTCATAAATCTGGACCAAAATACAAAAAAAAACTCATTGGATATACTTTATAAAATAGATACATCCGGGGCTGGGAAGGTGGCTCAGTGGTAGAGTGCTAGCCTTGTATGCATGAGGCCCTGGATTCAAGTCCTCAGGACCATATAAGCAGAAAAGGCTGGAAGTGGCGCTGTGGCTCAAGTGGTAGAGCGCTAGCCTTGAGCTGAAGAGCTGAGGGACAGCGCCCAGGCCCAGAGTTCAGGCTCCACGACCAGAGGGGGGAAAAAAAAAACTAGATACATCCTATTTTTAATTCCTTCCTTCTTTGCTTTCCTTCTTTTTTTTGGGGGGGGGCATCTTTCTTTCTGTTTCCTTCTTGCCTTTCTTTTTGCCTTTTTTCTTCTGCTACTAGACATTGAACTCAGTGCCTACTGCTTGTTAGGCAAGTACTCTACCACTTTAGTCACACCTCCAATCTTAAATTCTATTTTTTTCTTCAGGACTGTTACTGAGTTCAAACCCTTGTAGGGGCAAAGTTAGATAGAATAAATAAATAAACGAACAGCATGATATCTTGGGGGAGAAGTTGTTTTGTACATGCAAAAAAATAAAGCACAGGTGTCTTTTAATTTTTTAATTTTTGCACATTTTTCCAACTTTGTGAAAGTTTCTTTCCTTTCACCCAGTGGCTTCTAAAGCTAAGAGCTCCAGAGATGGAGTCCTGTAAGACTGAACCTAGGATCCACCAGCTTCTCAAGAGTAGCTAGAAACACAGCTTTCAATAAAGACTCCCAGGCTTTACATGCTAATCAACCCAGGGGTTCCATGGAGGAGAACACTGAGTGGGAGGAGGCAGTAAGATGGGGCTTCAGCTAAGCCCCCTGCCTGGGGTATGTTTGTTCCGGAACTCTATGCTACCATTTGCTCAGAATCAATAACCACTCTCATATAAGTAGGCCAATACAGTAAGAGCTACCGTGCTCTGCAAGAGCCTTTTGCACTGATCACTGGACACCAGGCTTTAGGTCTGTTCTACACCAACCGGCTCCCAAACCTGCCCCTTTTCAGGTAACAAGGCCTGTACTCAGCGCTTGCTCAGCTGGAGCTCTACCACTCCATCCACACCTCCAGCCCCCTCCTTTTTAAAAATAATTTAAAAGTTACAGGCTAATAAAAATAAAAAGACACTTGATGGATGTATTTCATATTACTTAGGGGGCCGTGGCAGTGGCCAGACTTGATTTGCTTTCGCCTGGGATTTAATGGCATTGTTAGCATCACAGATGTCAATGGCAGGGGTGTGTTAGTCCCACGAGACAGTAAGTAGGTGAGTAAAATGTGCCTGGTGCTGTTTACGACCATGTGCCAGCTTTGAGTCACTAAGAGTTTGACTCAAAAACCCTCAGAGCTCTGTTCGAAACACATTCTGTGTCCATTTTCTAGTGCTGGGGATTGAACCCAGGGTGACACACATGGTAGGCAAATCTCCTGCCACTGAACTGCAGCTGTAGCTCCCACACATTTTAAAAGAAAGAAAAAGTGGCAGATAATCTATAACTTGAAGAGTGTTTAAAACAGTGTCCAGACCAGAACTTTCCTGAAGATGCTAATGCAATGCAGGTACCCTGCTCCTGAACCAAAGCAAATGACGGTTGACAGTTCAAAGATATTCATCACAGAAACCACTTGCTCCTCAGAAGGGGAGGGGAAGGGAAGGAGAGGAGAGGAGAGGAGAGGAGAGGAGAGGAGAGGAGAGGAGAGGAGAGGAAGGAAGGAAAGGAGGGAGGGAGGGAGGAAGAACAATTGGATCTTGTTGTGAGCTCAATGTGCAAACGCGTCTTCAAGGCCTACCTTCCGAATACCAAGGCAGAGCTTTGGGCCTTTCCTTTTCTTCACGGCAAAAGGACTGGTAATCGGGACAGCAATCAGAATGGTCCCTCTCACAGAATCTATCACAGTAACACACCGCGTCTGCCTCATAGAACGGAGTTACACAGGCATCATCTCTGTCTTCACAGCACCCCAGGGCGCTACAGTAGCGGCCTGGGAACACAGCCCTTTTCAAGCGAGTACCTTCCGAGCTGCTGTGATTCCTGCTGGAAGCCGCTCCCGGGCCCGCGTCTCTTCCAGACAAAGAACTCCCCTCTGTCCATATTTCTGTAGCCAGATAAGAGAAAATTAGTATCTTATATCCGGTCCACATTCTCTGGACCCTCACTCCTTAGCCAGGCCTCTCCTTATTCTGATTGTTCCTGGGAGCCTGAAATCTAATCAGCAGGACACTTCTGCCTGAACTCTGAAACACACCCTTTCCTTGAGCATACCTCTCCCAGTTAATCATTAGTCAAGAATTTCCATGTTTGCCCAAGATAATACAAGTGTAATTTCTTCAGAGTTAAGCATGATATTTCATCTAATGTGAAAAGCCGGCCATATCACTAAACAATCTACCTAAATGATAGAGGGATGGTCTTCCCACTCCAAGGTTCTAGAATTTAAGTCTGAAACTCGTGTTAGACGTAAGGTTCACACAATGGCTGCAGTCACCAGGGACAAAGGGCAGGGAAGTCACAAGTGAAGAGCTATGCCCCAAGCGTCCCTCGGCTGGCCAGCCGGGATCTGCCACACCAGCCACACACTGGCTTGATTTCCCGGCCGGGCCCCATTTGGGAGGCCCTGACCACGGCTATCAGAAGCGGTGGGACTTCGAGGTGTGCTGGAGCCCCCCTAGCTAGACATTCCTGTAGTGACCTTCAGCCCTCCACCGGGCTCTGCCCAGCGTCCGTGGAAATCCAAGGTACCCAGCCAAGGAAATTCCCCGCCGGGGAGGGAGTCGGGAACAAAACTCAAAGGTCACCATGCCGGCGGCGGTGTTTCTGTAGAGCTCTGCACTTACAGGGGGTTTTGCTGATTTATTCATTAACGATAATAACTCCCTCGGGACAGGGGACAGCGCTGGGGAATGGCTGAGCGGACACCGCTGGCCGGCCGTGTGGGAAGGACATGTCTGGTGGCCTCCACCCTATTAATTGGCAGACACCGGGGCAAAACCCTGCTGCTACTTCTCCGGCCCTCAGTTACTTTGCTGTGAAATGAGGATTTTCCTCTGCGTGGCTATTTTTGTCATTCGAATCCTTCCACCTTGTTCCCTGACCTTGTCTGTAATGTATTCAACGTACACTTTTATCGGCCTTTTGTCACTTCCTTCCGACCCCTCCTCGCCAGAGATAAATAGATACAAGCTTAACTTGAAAAAAACAAATCCACATCACCTGGATGGCACCGACTCTGGTGCCCCTTCTTCCCAGTCCAACAAACGCTGACTCCTCTCCCCTGCCGGCTCGTGACTCAGCTGTAGCATTCAAGAGGTTGGGCCTTAGGTGTGCTCAGGAAGAGGATGAGGAGAGGAAAGCAGGGAGGAGAGAGGGAGGGAAGGAGGGGTGGTAAAGGAAGAGAGGGGACGGGGCAGCTGTAGTGAGGTGAGCAATACAGACGCTCGTTTCCCTGGTAGGCGTTGTGTGGGGACAGGGCCTCTGTCCAACGCATTATATGCCACGCAGAGACGGTATCAGAAGACTGGCTTGCTGAGGATAATTTGATTGACCTAAATTCAATCTTTGTATGAATTTTGATCAGCTTGAATGGGATTTACAGCGGAAGGTACACTGTGACATTCCCGTGCATGCGCATAATGAATGCCAGCCGGTGAGACTCCGCTCCACGCTCCCCCTCCCCTGCCCCGCACAACAGCGCCACCAGGTCTCGCTGCTCTCTATTCACATTGCGAAGAGCTGCGTGCATGTCCGCACCCTCGCTCACCTCTGTGTCCACCGTCTTTCCACTTCCCGGCGCCCAGGACCCCAGCACAGCCATTGCACTGCCACTCATGTCAATTGTAACAACGCCTTGTGCCGTGGTGCTTTAGACGCTTTAGATCTTAATCAACCCGATGTCTTAAATTCTAGCATTAGAGAGTCATCGCTCTGAAATAGGAAGTGGGCAGGAGAGTTCAGCTTTGTGTCTCCCTTCACAAGGACACTGAAGGAATTGGCACCCACCTTTGAGGTTCGTGTGGGACCCTTCCCGCTCCACAGGCGATCTGGGATGGTCCCCAGGGCCAGCGGGGACTGAGGAGGATGGCAAGAGACTTGATTGATGAGCAATAACCAATGACTTATTAATCAATGAATCACTGGGCACTACCCCAGTGAGTAAATTCTAATTTCAGCCGTTTTATCGAGAGTAACAAATGCTTTCTAGCTCCAAGATGGGTTGATGTTTGGATTCAGTTTCTGAAGGATCCTGAAGAAGTTGGCACATGACAATCACCAAGGACATCTCTGCATGTACGTCTCTGTCACCAAGGACATCTCCGTGTGTATGTCTGTGTCACCCCGAGCATCTCCGCGTGTTGTCTCTGCCATGTGCAGGTGAGTGAGAATCTCACGGAATCCTCCAGCAGGCTGCAGTGGCAGAGGCTGTAATGACTATCGCGGTCAGCGCTGCCAGACAAAGGACAAAGGCTGGAGACGAAGCAAGGTCACACAGTGTTCGCCCCAGGTGCAGTGAGCGCCCCGTGCCCCGTCCGCCCTTCTGTCCAAGTCTCGACCTGGCCTTGTGTCCGAAGCCGGGGCTCAGCCTGCAACTCGGGTACGAATCTTCCCTCTCCACATTCCTCAGTGGACCCGTGTGGAAGGGGCGGAGGCGGAGGCAGAGCTGGAGGAGGAGCGAGGGGAGTCCCACCGCTGGGCTGTTACACTGCGCGAGGAGAGCCGCAGTCTTCTGCGGACGCCCGCCTGTGTTTCCAGGACAGGCTCCTGAGAGCTGGGGAAGAAGAGCGGCCTGGGACCTGGGAAGGAAAACCTCCCACAGCCCCGGCCGGGCATGGGTGGAGACACTGGCCTGCTCCTAGCTTTCAGCAATTCTGCTCCAACCCTTTCCTTTCTCACCACAACCAAACCGGTACTTAGGGTACCGCCTTCCTCTTGTCTTCTTTCTGTCCTACATTTTCCTGCTGACATCCCAGTCAGCAGGGAGAGGCCTGGTGACTTGTGTACTTCTACATGGAGACAGCCTGGAGACATTTGCTCTCCACGCACGCCAAGGGCGATGTCCACAGAGATGTGACCTTTCCGTCTGAAAGAAGACAGAGACAGGGACACCAACGCCACACACCTCCCTCCTGTTTTCTACTCTGGCTCAACATACCACCAGGCAAGGCTGCCAATTCCATGCCTCGTGGTAAACCTGGCAATGACAAAACCCAGAAAGAGAAAAAGCAAATGCATGAAAGCGAAATTGGGTAGCAATCCAATACTAGGGCAAAACTACCAGTCATTGGAGGGGAAGTTGCAGAGATGAGAAAGAACAAAGTTTTCCTTCCACATCAAAATTCCATGTTCAATATCATTAAACAGGAAATAATGGGGAACGCAAAGTGTTACTTCCAGAGCCAATAAAAATGCGTAATTAGTGCTTGATTTCACAAGAGGCACTTGAAAGGAGAAACGGCTGCTATCTGTCAGCACACTTGTGCTATACTGCTTTGAGGAAAGCTGGTTTTATTCACTCACTCTTTTATCCTAATAATAGAAATATCACATTTTTTTCCTCATCTGTGGAATCTAGCCCTACAAAAATGAAAAAAAAAATGTGGGGAGATAAAAAAGTTGGTCTTTTGGAGGAAAAAAAGCAGAAAGGGGGAGGGCAAATAGAGAAAATGTGGGGTGAATGTGATCCATGCATTAAAATAGAAGAATAAAATCCATTAAAAACTGTGAGCAAAACCGAGGGCTAAGGAGAGGTAATAAGGCTTGTAATCACGTATGATACACGTGTATGGAAACATTACAGTGAAATCCTTTGTCTAATTAATGCACGCTGGTAGAAATGTCAGTTTAAAAATATACTGAGCTTCTAGTAGATGCCAGGAACTTTGCTGCCCTCATCGCCAGCACATTGACGGAACGCAGAGACAATTCCGGATGACTAGGGCAGCACAAAGAAATTGTGGTGGGCCCATGTAGAGCACTAGCAGAGATTTTCTGGTGAGTCTTCACAGGTCAATTACGCTGGTCATGTACACGAGACGTGACTCACAGACGAAGGAAACGTGGCCCACACCACACTGGACAAGGCCCCAGGTGATGTGGGGCCTTGAGTGACAAGTCCTGCTGGGAAGTGGACATGTCACCCGCGCTGTAAGACGGCCCCTGGCGGGCGGCCTCGGCCTACGTGGTGGTCTGTGCCGCGCCCGGCTCTCGCTGCGGGTCCACGCCTCGCCATTGCAAGAGGCCTTTCCCTTCAGTTTCCAGAAGCTTCCCACTATCCAAGCTGAGCACGTCATGGTCTCCGGGAAGTTCCACTCTTCCTCAGCAGGTGGAAACTGCTCCTAAATGTCATACAGAACTCGCCGAGGCTTTTCAGGAGCTTTACAATAGGCGGTGTGTGTTGAGATGGGTGTGAATAGCAAATTCAGCTTTAAAAGTAAAGGGCCCAGCTAACGAATGCCGCTCCTCTACAAGGGTAACAGTGACACTGTGACCCGAGCCAGAGCCCCTCGGAGCCCTGCGTCGTGCGGCTTGGATTGTGTCTCCGCATCGGGCAGCTGGGACGCATCTGTCCCGTGGTTTCTCTTACTGGCAATGTTGCCTTTCAACATCTACAGCTTTGGTCTAGATTTTGTTTCAGATTCCTCATACGTATTTTACCCGTACACTGGATACGACCATTGAAGTATCTTCTAGTTACAGGCCCAGCATTTCTAAACATACACCAGAGAGGAGAGAGGAGGAGAAGGAAGAGGAGGAGGAAGGGAAGGAGGGAGGGAGAGAAAGAGAGGAGGAAGGACAGAGAGAGAAGGAACGATGGAGGAGAAGAGGGGAAAACGCCAACGACAATCCATTGCATGTCCTACAAACTTAAGAAGAGGGAGGGGACAGAGAAGGGAGGGGTGGGCTGTGGAAAGGTCACATCGAGCAAGGGGCATTGAGTTCATAAACTGCTCAGCAAAATGGCAGCTCCTTTGTACAACTACTTAAGGATAATTAAAGAACTTAAAGAATGAAAGCGAGGGGGGAGGAAATAATGAGAGCGAGAAAGAAGGAAGGAAGGAAAGAGAGAGAAGGAAGGAAGTGGGCATGGTCGGAGTGGCTGTCCTCAAACACATTACACACACACACACACACACACACACACACACACACACACACACACACGTGCGCACACACACACACCCTCTGAAAGCTGCATTCGCTCCCAGTCCCCCAGAGCTGAGC